CTTTTTTGGCTTGATGTTGTTTTTTTGTATATGGGGCCTTTCCAATGTGGAGCTTCAGTTACTGCTCAAATTGTTTGTTTATTTTTCTGCTCAGTAGCTGCTTTCAGAGTTGTGTTACTTTGGCTCCTCAGGTGTCTTCTTTCCTGCCATGGCTTTAATGTGACTGACCAGTGTTTGGATTCTGTGAGGTGTCAGCTGTGTTTCTTTGGCTTGATGTTGTTTTTTTGTATATGGGGCCTTTCCAATGTGGAGCTTCAGTTACTGCTCAAATTGTTTGTTTATTTTTCTGCTCAGTAGCTGCTTTCAGAGTTGTGTTACTTTGGCTCCTCAGGTGTCTTCTTTCCTGCCATGGCTTTAATGTGACTGACCAGTGTTTGGATTCTGTGAGGTGTCAGCTGTGTTTCTTTTTTGAAGACTCTCTTATGTATGTTTATTATCCATCACAAGATTTTAAATTAATAACAACATCTCCACAAAGGACTAGTGGAGAATTGGGTTGCCTGGGCTATTCTAATTGTCGCTCTTCGAAAAAGTCAGAATTATTCTCGAGTTCTACCTATGAAGACAAATGATTTCTCCTGTATTCTAGTTCTGTTACACCTGGCATACTCTTTCCTAGTATGTGTGCACCAATTTGCCATTCTTGCTTGGCTAGTGCCATAAACAATGTTTGTACAAGCTCTTTAATTGGAGGTAAATCCAAACCTGACTGTTGTTGCATTAGGACTAATTTGTAATAAATGAGAAGACTCGGTGGATAATTGTCTTCTGGGAATTTTAACTACTCATTCTACTCTTAGTAGAAACACTAAAATCACTTTTGTCTTGATTTCTCGGGGACAGATGCCCTTGGTGCTCAGTAAATACCTGTGTCACTATTAGCATCCTTAAGGACAAGGTGAAGTTATGCTTATTATGGTCTTACTCCAATCACTTGTGATTGTGCCAAACCAAAGCTAAAGCTGTTATAGCTGCCACTTACATGTTAGGTGTTGAGTGCCTTCAGGTGCTCTCTGGATGTGTGACACTGATTGTTTCCAGCAAAAGCAAAGCCAAGTCAGGAGGATGGATTTTTTTGTCCTAGAGTTGGGCTAACTGCCAGCAGGACAAACACACAACGTGAATATATAAGTCACCTGGACAAAAGCTTTAGAACTTTGTGTAGGTGAACATCCACATTAGACTTGTCCACTTTCGTTCATCTGTCATGGTCACTTTGTTTTCTCTGTCCTGTTCACCAGACATGCAGAATCTGCTCATCCTTTGCAAGATGCTCCCCAGGAGAACAGACCTGTCAACAGTGAAGACCGAGAGATGTCACAACACGTATGTGTCCCACTGCAAACTGCAGATGTGGTTGTTTTTGTGCTTCTCAAGAGTTAGGGCTAAAAAAGATGAAGTGTGAAGATCCTGGTACTGCCTAATGCCTTGTGTTTGTAGAGTAGGGATGTACTGACAGCCACAGCTTGTCTTGGCAGCCAGCCTGGTGTAGTGGGGAGGGAACCCTGGTGTATGGTCTGCTTATGCCCACTCAGGAGGCAGTTGAGGGTCTCTGATGCTGCAGTTTGGCAGGAAAAGCAGAACATGATGTTACCTCCAGCTCAACATTCAGTTTGACTTCTCGAGGGCCAGTAGAGTATGGGAAACACTGGGATGGATAGCAAGCCCAAAATGCTGGGAATCAGTTTTGATTCAGGGTCAGACCTCTTAGAATGCAATCTAGTTGCTCAGTGCTGACAGAGGAGGAGCGGACTTGCTTCTCCCCTCCCTGCTCCTCTGGGCTTCTTGAGGGCTTTATTTTGTGCCACTGTGGTACATCAAGAGGGCTCATGCAGCATTCTGACAAACCTGTGTGCGCTGAAAAAGGAGGGACAGTTAGGAGCACCTTCCTCGTGCCCTTTTGTAGGGTGAGGTGTTAATTCAGCTCATGCGTCTCACAAAACTGCACTGCTGGGTGTCTGGATGACTTCCTTTCCCATTCCTTTGCTTTTGTGCCCCAGCAGTGGGACTGCACCGGAGTCAAATTAGCAGCTGTAAAGTGAAGTGACTTGGGACCTAGAATCATAGAATCATCAAGGTTGGAAGAGACCTTTAAGATCATCAGGTCCAACCATTAACCTGTCACTCCACTGTAACCCCTAAACCTTAAACCACATCTTCCGGTGCCAGGTCTAGACACCTCTTAAACACTTCCAGGGATGGTGACTCCACCACCTCCCTGGCAAACCTATGCCAGTGCCTGAGTGTGTTAAATCAGTCAAGCCAAACTCCTCAGTAGCTTCCTACCACAGAAGTTGTGATGAGAGAATATTTGCCTTGTGGTTCTTGGGTGAAACCTGGTGAATGTATTTTGGTGAGGTTTATCTGTGGTTGGGTACTTTCATTATGGGCCTGTGAAGGACATGTGTCAGAAAAGCCCTAACTCTTTCAAAAAGAGTGGGGCAGAGGAGCTGTGGCACATGATGAATTTCTTAGAACTGAGCTAAACCTTCCCCATGGTCAGAAATCTGACCCCAATTCTCATGTAGGGTCATGTCTTCAAAGGACATAGCAGTTGCTCTGTGGGCACCTGTCCACTGTTGATGAAAGCTGTTCAGGAAACTTTCTAAGATTTGGCTTAGTGTCCCAGGGAATTTTTCACTTTTTCCCATGACTGAGCTCCTGTGTGTTTCCATTGTTGGTAGGCCCTTCCCAGTGGTGAGGATGATGAGGACGACAGCGACAGTGACAGTGATGATGATGACGTGAAAGTGACCATTGGCAACATTAAAACAGGAGCACCATCCTACATGTGGGTATTGCTGGGTATGGTGTGGGCTTGGGTTGAGGGAGCTCCAGCAGCCTGATGGGAGTGAAAGTGGGGATGAGAGCTGCTCTGGCTTCTGGGAGTCATGCGAGGAATGACTAACACATCGGAGTGGGATTAGGAGCTGATGGGTAGCTCTGTCCTGCAATTGCTTGTTGGAGAATCCATCTGTAAAATAGGAATGGGAATTCATGGGGCTGATGCTGGAAAATTAACCTACTAATTACCATGTTTCTTGGGGTACAATCAAAGGTGGGAAGTTATGTTTAACTCATCTGTGAAAATGTCCAGAACCAAAATCTGTATTGCTAAGAATCTGCATAAGCTGTGAATTTACTAATTCCCACCTGTCATGACTCAGGAATGGTGAGGCTGGATGTGAGAGTCAGGAAATTAAGTCACTGACTTAAAATTCTGCCTGATTTGCATTGAATAAAAATAATAAGACAGCATTTTTGCTTGCCACTAGCAACCTTCCTCTTAGAGAAATGACTTACCTGTGCTTTGCTGCATGTTCTCCTTTTTCCACTTCATGGATAATTTCCTTCTCTTGTTGTAGAGGTGGTTTCACTCTGATGGATGACTCTGAATAGAAAACCCAGGTGAACTAAAGCATCTTCTGAAGGGTGTCAGGGCTTGAATATATTTTGCATGAGACTCTTCAGCCAAGTGATTTGTTCAAATGCCAATGCAGTGATTCTTTTCCAATAGGGGAACTCCTATGAATCTAAACTTAAAAACGGGTAGAGGCTATGGAGCATCTGCTTCAGGTATTGCTGCTATTTTTATCCTTCACCTTTTGCCATATTTCACTTACCTGGCACTGACAGCTGCAGCAGCTGCAAACTTTGGTCTGTTTGGAAGGATATAGAATTAGCTCATCTTATGTAAACTAGGAACAGTAAGTGCATTTCCTAAAGATAAGTGTTCCTAGGACAGTCCAGGATGCAACAAGTGATGTATTTGCACATCACTGAACAAGGTGATTATAATTTTATTTAAAATCTTAAGAAATGCATTGATTATTGCTTCTTTAGTAAAAACCTAGAATATTTCTAAACCATATTGTTGCACTGGGGCCAAACATGCTAAATTGCTTGGAGAAGGACTATTGCTCTGTGGTCAGTGTCCTGAGCTACTTGCAGTGTAAGATGCTAAAGGAAACACACTCTGGCCTTGGTATCAGCTGTGCATATTTCTGCTGATGAAATCTTCCCCCACGCTCAGTTTAGGTTTGCTGTAAATTGAGCCCTGTCCTTCCACACATGTGAGACTGTCCTTTCGTGGGCTTCACGTGCTTCTTTCCACTCACTGCTTTATACAAACGAATTCTCTACTGAATGAAAAAATAAGAACAAATTTCCCTTGAAGAGTCTGTGCTTGACAGATTTTTGCTGACTCCAGTTAGTCCACTAAAGACTGATCCTGAAAAAGTCTCTTATGAGAAAAATCTGTGTGTCTTGGGAGGGGAAAGGAAATATTTTGCCTGGAAAGAAAAATAATTTAATTTTATTTTCATTTGGGGTAAATTTCATGCATGTTCTAATGATTTACTCTGTCTGTAGTACCAATCTGGGTTGAATTTGCTTCTCTGCTGTTCAGCTGCAAGTGCTGTACACTCTTGGCTGTTTGTTTGTAGAGTGACTGAAGTAATTTTTATTACCAAGTTGATTGTGGTTGCCTACGTGCTGTAAAGGCACTGATTAATTCACAGCAGTGCTTTGGGTTTGACTGGAATAATTTGCTCAGCAAATTAATGGATTAAAGGCAATGCATAAAAAGTAGTAACAGTTTCTCTCTCTCCAAAGCCAAGTTGCAGCCCAAAGGTATTGACTTGGATGCTGCAGGGAATATAAATGGATTGCCTGTGATAGAAGTGGATTTAGATTCATTTGAAGACAAACCGTGGCGGAAACCAGGTGGGGCCTCACACTTCTTGTGGTAAATATTTTCTGCAGTTCTAGTTGTCTCTCTTTAATTTCACATGTAATTTCTGTCCATTTATTGTTGCCAGGGAACAGGGAAGCCAGAACAATGCACATTGCTCAGCCTCTGATGCCTGCCTAGACAATCAGTGGCATTTCCTGATTGATCAAGCCGTGCTGTACCTAAAATGGTCTATTTTATTAATTCCCTAGTTCCAGAAAATATTGCAGTGATAATGTTTGTTGGCCTTAAAGGCAGCTGGGTAGGATCAGGATTTGGGGGTCAGTGATGTGCTCTGTTCCTGTGCAGCAGTTTGCTTGTTCTGTGTCCCATGGCCAGGACCATGACCCTTCCTCATGCAGGTCCTGGGACTGCACACATTGTCATGTTAGGGAGATGTCTTCTCATGCAGGATAGCTGTTGGATGCTCCAAATAAACTGCTGCTTTTCATCTGCTACAGAAGTAATTCAAGGAACAAGAGATCCAAATCTTGTTGTTCTGCTCTCATAAAACATGCTCTGATGATTTTACTCATTGTAGCAATAAGTCCAGTTGCCTCTTCTCAGCAATAATAATTCTCCCCACCTACTCCTCTACTGTATTTATCTTTCAGCAGTATTGCTGTGCTGAGTAAGTAGGGCTTTCATAAGGTTGTCTGTGGTGTGGTTTGGGTATCTCTTGCCCACAACACAGAGTACATAGTAGGTTTACTTTAGGTGGCAGGTAGCTTGTTATTCAACAGCCTTTCAAGTTTAGCTCCTTTACAGTTAATTATTCAGCAAGTTGGTATCTCTTTGAGGGAGGGAGAGAAAGAAGAAATCCTGTGTGGAAGAACTGCTACAGGTTTGAAATGGAGGCCGATAAAATAGATAAGTAAATGTCACTTTGCTGAGTTGGTGCTAGTGCAATTTGCATGTTTGGGTGGTACAAGAGAAAGAGTGGCCAGCCTAGAAGATAAACCTCAGTGCTTAGACCTCACAGCTTCAGCCAAACTCAGCATGGTCAGAGTGTTTTGCTTAGCCTTATGTATCAGCTCTTTGTTTTGGAATTGGTCTGTGTAAGAATATCTTTGCATGGGGGATGTTTGAGGGACACCTCAGGAGGTGCTTTGCATTGCTACCTGGTGGGAGCTGTGCTCAAAGTTAGCTACAGCTGGGATTGTCCCTCTGCAGCTATGTTCTCTGGGCAAGCAGTTTGTGGCCTCCTCTCTTGTTCAGTGTGCTCCTGCTGAAGCACATTGCAGACTGTCAGTGTAAGATAAGAATCTTGGATGACTAATTAGGGTTGTGACCGAACTGTAATTACTTGTGTAGTCTGGAACATATCAGTAAAAAACTTGCACTTTAGATGCCTTTCATGAAATGGCTGAGCCCCAGAATCTCTTCTCAAAACAACCAAGGCAATGATGGTCATGAGGGGAATGTGTAGGTTTAGCTCTGCCAAGGAAATAGTGTAAGATAAGAATCTTGGATGACTAATTAGGGTTGTGACCGAACTGTAATTACTTGTGTAGTCTGGAACATATCAGTAAAAAACTTGCACTTTAGATGCCTTTCATGAAATGGCTGAGCCCCAGAATCTCTTCTCAAAACAACCAAGGCAATGATGGTCATGAGGGGAATGTGTAGGTTTAGCTCTGCCAAGGAAATAGTTCTGTGACACGATGCCATTTTTGTGATGGGAGCTGGAGCTGGCACTCCCGTGCTCTACCCAGCACTCACCTTGTGAACAACTGGAAGAAACCAGTTCGAAAAGTTCAGGTTGGTGATTAAGTGGTTGCAAACAGCATTGTCAATAGCCCATGGACCTGGTGTATTGTGTGTCCCCAAGGGTCCCACTGCAGCTCAGGCTGTGGTGCCGCTCCCTCCCAGAGGTGCAGCCATCCCCTCTGTGGCACCCAGCAGCTCTCTTACAGAACCAAATGAACAGTAAGCTGGGCTCTAGAGAAGGTTTTTTCTTAACTCTTACAGTTTCTTAGTTTCATAGTATGTTAAGGGCTTGGAATGGATCTTAGAGATCATCTAGTCCCAACCCCCTGCCCTGGGCAGGGACACCTCCCACCAGAACAGGCTGCTCAAGGCTTTATCCAACCTGGCTCTGAACACTGCCAGGGTTGGGGCAGCCACAGCTTCTCTGGGCAACCTGTGCCAGTGTTTCATTACCCTCACAGGAAAAAACTTTTTCCTAATACCTAATCTAAATTTCTCCTCTTTCAATTATCACCATTGCTCCTTGTCCTGTCACTCCAGTTCCTAACAAAGAATCCCTCTCCAGCTTCCCTTAGCTCCTTTGGATCCTGGCAGGTTGCTCTGAGGTCTCCACACAACCTTCTCTTCTCCAGGCTGAACAGCCCCAACTTTCTCAGCCTGTCTAGTAGGCAAAGTGCTCCAGTCCTCCTATCAGCTTCGTGGCCTCCTCTGGACTTGTTCCAGCAGTTCAAACAGATAGTTCCTTGTCCTTAATTCCAACAGCTGCATGTCCTTAGTTCCATGTCCAGGACACTTTGAGAATGCAAGTCTGCTAGAATCCCTGCATTAACTTCTGCTCCCTGTCAGGTGCTGATCTTTCTGATTACTTTAATTATGGATTCAATGAAGAAACATGGAAGGCTTATTGTGAAAAGCAGCGACGTCTCCAGCTGGGGCTGGACCCTGCTCCTCCCATCAGCACTGAGAACAAGATCACGGTAGGTGACGTGTGACTCCTGCACAAGGCTCCAATCCAACTGGGACTTGTTTTTATAATCACAGAGATGAAGGTATAAAAGCAGGAGATATGTCCATACCAGACTGTTCTGTGTCCTTTCAGTGATGAGAAATACAAAAATGAATCTTTAAAGATTAAATCTGTCTCCTGAAAATCTCTTCTGTATGGAAGGGATCGTATCATCTGCCTGGCAGATTTGAACCACTACAGCAGCAGCACTGGAGTGATTTATCATTTGGCTTTGAGGCTGGCCAGCTATAGGGATGTCTGGTTGGAAAACCCTCTGGGTGAGAGAGGTGCAGAGGAGAGCTCTGCATCCATGGCTGTTCTGCTTGTTGCTGTTGCCTGCTGCAGTGGTGTGGCTTCCTTTTGTGTTTGGAGATGGCTTTGGCCATCAGCCTTTGCAGAAGTCCATTGGTGGCCAACAGCTGTGAATCAGAACTTCAGCCAAAGAGTCAGTAGAAGTATTTCTAGTTCCAGTTTTGACTTAAGGACCACATGGAAAGGGGTATGAGATTATTAAACCTTTGGACTCCTAACAGGAGACAGTGGACAGCAGCTGAGGCTGGAATGGCCACCTAGTTACCAGAAATGGCTGCTGCCCTGACTGAAGAATAGGTTACTTGTTGGCAAGATTGTTCCTTTTCCTTTGCTGAGGGTTAATCTCTGGTGCTATAATCAGTTGAGAGTAAGAGCATTAAACCTGTGTGTTATGTACTACCTTCACAGGTTCAGCAAGGAAGAACAGGAAATGCTGAAAAAGAAGTGGAAAACAACATCATCAAAACAGAATTCAAAACAGACTTCTTGGCTCTGGTGGGAGGACGCATGAAAGCTGGCCCTCCTCCCAACAGGTGAGAGATGAGCAGTGTTTTTCATTGGGGCAGATGTCCTGAAGCCTCAAACAGAAGCTTTTAAACATCACAAGAAACTGCTGTTGTCACTCATTCACTGTCACCTTCAGCACTGCTCTCCTGAGGGCTGTGCAACCCCTGCCTACCCACTCACCTCTACTTGGTGCTGTCCTCAGTGCAGGGAGGGAATCCTGGATCCTAGGTAAAGGAGCACATCTCTGGGAGTAGAAAAAGAAAGGCAAACACCTCAGCGTTGTGGGCTTATGTTGATGACTGCTTGTGCTTGCTTGGCTTACTCCTACTCCCACGATGTTAATCTTTGCCTCCTGAAGTGGAAGTGGATTAGGAATCTGGCAGCTGATAAGAGGAGCTATTGACTCCTTAACCTATGTGTGATGCTGCTGGATGTGTGGTAAAACAATTGAGTCATTCTGATGGGCTGTCTGCTGGGGAAACCACTTGTTTCTCTTGCTTTATTGACCAAACAGCTTTTGCACCTCTGCCTTGCAGAAACCAGCCTTGTGTTCCAGCTTTATACATTGTCTGAGGACCAGCATAAGCTTGTTGCCCCAGCCCTGGCAGTGTTCAAGGCCAGGCTGGATAAAGCCTTGAGCAAGCTGGTCTGGTGGGAGGTGTCCCTGCCCAGGGCAGGGGGTTGGGACTAGATGTCTCTAATGTCCATACCAATATGTTAATGTACTATGATAAGTTTTAAAGCTGTACTTAGTCTGTTTGCATCTGAGCACTTTGGGGGCATTTTTGCCCACTGTGCAATCCCTGTTATTACACCCATTTGTGGAGGGATTCTTTGGATCATGTTTCTGGGTGTTCAGAGAGACCAAACTCAGTCCTGCTCAGAGCTCTAATTGCTCAGATGTGACAAATGGCTTCTCATTTGCCTCTTGTCCAGTTTGAGTGCTGCCTCTGGAGTTGTTTCCCTATTGGGAAAGAATGCACAAGAGAGGTCTGTCTACTAGCAGGAAAAATTGCTTTTTCTATTGTCTCTGAGCCTAAAAAGATGCATCTGCTTTGTTGCAGGAAGCTGGGTGGGACGATTGATGTGATTGGGGGCCAGGCAGGCACCATCAGGAGAGTGGAAGGCAGACGCCGGGATAAGCACGCCTCGGAGGAGAACCCAATCCAGGTACAGGTTTCATGCTGTCTTGACAAATTTCTGACTTTATTGCTCTTCTGGTGAGCCCTGAGCAAATGTCTGTGTGTTCCTGACCTCCCATGTCCCAGTTTCTATCTGCACATCAGTAGGCAATGTTTCAGCCCTATTGAGGCATATGCAGGTGTCATTCACTTCCGCAGGCTCAGTTCACTGCTGGGTTCAAAGCTTCACCTTGACAGGACTTAGGGATTGTCCTTTAAAGACTGTACTTCCCATTGGAACAGTAAGTCCCAAGGTTCTTTCAGGTCTCCCAAAGTATTCCTCAGGATGTTTGTAGCTAGGAGGCTCTTACGAGATTGTTCCCCTCCACTGTTAGAGTCTCCAGTTCTGCAGTGGAGAATTTTTACCTGGGGCTAGGCTTTCCTTTTACTTTAGTCTTGGCATTATTTGATGCTGCTCACACTGCAGACTGAGGCTGGGCCTGTACTACTGGATCTTGGCCCTTGCAAGAAATAAAAGCCTGGGGTTAAAGCTGGGCTGAGTTCTGAGCTTGCATGCCCAGTGTATAACCAGAATGTTCTGGTTGGCTCCTAGGTAGGAAGCTGCAGTGTACAGGTCTGCCAAAAACTCTTTTCTTAACCTCCTTCTCCTACCAGCCACTCCTAACTCACCAAAACCCCCCGCAACTCTAGATGCAATTCGTGGTTTTGCTTTTACATGTGGTTTTGTGGTCAGTTTATGTTTTTTAGTGGTTAGTTTTCCAAACTTTGCCAACAAGAGGAGTTTACCTAACATAAAGCATTTTCTGGGAAATGGTTGTTGTTCCTTGCCCTTAAAAGCACTGATAGGTCATTTCCAGGTCACTCTGGTGCCTACATATTGGTCACTCTTCCCAGCCATCACCATGCTGCCTGTTTTGGTGTGTGCTCCCTTGCTGCCACCACTGTGAGGTCCCTGCTGCAGGAGCAAAGGGATTAAAGTACTCTCTTCTCATTCCTCTGCCTTCTAAGGTCCTTGGAGACCACGGAAGTAAGCCACAACCCCCCCAGCAGCCCCAGCAGCCATCACAGCCCCAACAGCCACCTCAGCAACAGCCGTTTGCACCACCAGCAGGCCCACCGCCTCCCCCGCTCGCTGGGCCTCCTCCACCACACTTCCTCCACCCTCCTCCTCCAGTTACTTCTGTTCCACCTCCCCTGCATCCTCCAGGTATGTGTTCACACACTGATATGTGGCAGACTGAGGCTGCAGTTAGGAGGTCCCAGGCTTGGAGCAAGTCAAAGGGGTAATGGTTAAGTGCTGTGGGATGGTCGAGCAGTCAGGTAACAAGTCCTTAACATCTGGCCAGGCTTTGTTAGTGTCTCCATCAGCCTAGTTAACATCTGTCCTTGAGTGCTTAACAAATGGCAGCTGTACTTGAAGAAAACCTCTGGGCTTTGTTGCCATGAGGGAACCTTCCAGTGCTACTGATCTATTTGCTTTATTGAGAAATGTAAAGAAATGGGTTCCTGTTTTTCTGTGGAGGAATGTAGGAATTGCTCTCCTGTGTCACATCAGCAGGCTGTTCAGGTCAGGATCCTCTCTGGCTTTGACTTATTCCAAGTGTTTCAAGGGTGGTGCTGGAATTGGCAATTCTGCAACAGCAGCTCTAACAAATAACCCTTTAGTTTTTGGTTGGTTTATACCTTGAAGTACCAAGATTTGTACCTTTCTGTGTTTGTTTCTGTGCACTTTACTGTGCCAGCTGCTACTGCAGGGTGATTCTTATGCTCCTGGCAGTGCCTAGTGTCCAGTGCAGACCTTAGAGCAGTGTTTCATTTTAAAACCAAAATATAAATGAGAGCTTTACCATGGGTTTCTAGCACCAAACAGAAAATAGGACAATAGTGGTGGAGAGAACAAAGAACTTTGCAATGGAAAAGGCCAAATATGCAGCATTTTTTCAGGGGCACACGGTCATTTTTCTGTGCAATTTTTACAGACATATTGGCTATGGCCTAAGACACATTTTTCTGTCTTCACTTCCCACTCAGTCTGTGCAGCTTCTGATCCAGCATGAGTCGTGTCTGTGCCCCTGTTGCTTGTGGCTTAAATAGTGACAGGTTCCAGTGAAGGGGCCATACTCTCAGCTTTTCCTGGTCCTGTGGGCAGAAGTTACCAGGAACACTTCATGCAATAACTCCTGTCTGAGGATTCCTACTGCAGTACTCACTGGTACTTTTCCTAGTAATTTTTCCGTGGTAGCTTTTCCTCCTGCATTTCATTTCAATGATTGGCAAAATCAAGATAGATTCACTGGACTGGAATCTGCAGCAGGTTCTCCTCTCCAGCTCCTTCAGTTGTTCTGAAGACCAAATCAGTTGTTCATAAGGTGACACTTGGAAAAGGAATCCTCCAGTGTAAGAAGGCAGCAACATTTGAAATTATAACATAAAGGTAAAGAGATCATAATTTGGGAAAAATACATATTTTTTAGGCTAGTTCCTGCTTAATCGCACCAAGTTTTCTGCTACTCTGTTTGCTCAAATGTATGAAATTTATTCAAAGGTGTGCTCTGAGGTTTAGCTGGAGGTGCAAAGATGCTATGATTTACCTGTTGTCCTCACCATTTTCCCTGCTTATTCCCACAGGCCTGCCACCTCCAGGCCCTATTCCAGGTAGGTGTTACCTTGCTCTAATAACAGCAGCAGTTCTGAACACACAGGTGGCCTTACCTGAGCATTTGTACTCAGTAACGTGAGAGGATGGCACCAGATTAGAGCATAGTTAAGTTAAGGCTTGATAAACTCCAGTGCAGCATTGAACTAGAGCTCTTTGTCTTATATTCTGGACCTAAATGATCATCTGTTGTAGGGCTTCTTATTTCTGTCTTGTTTTGTCTCTCAAGACAATTCTAGATAGGGAAATAGAAAACTTGAGATGGCAAAAGCCACTCTAGTTTTGAAATGGTTTAGTTCTTGGGCTGGCATTTGCACAGCAGAAGTCTGAGTGACTATTTGGTGCTTTGCACAGGAATTGGGAGTGTGAGACTGAGCAGTACAAATGCCATTTCCAGCAGAAACTTTTGCTCATGGCTGTGCAGACATGCTGAAAACCTGGAAAGAAACGTAACAACCAATCTCACACCTAGGTCAGGAACCTTCTAATTCAGACCTCCTGTAAAACTGGGTTTCTTGTAACTGTAATTTTCTTTTCTACTGGAAATTTTGTCATGGAAGACAGTTGCTGTTGGTATAGCAAAATGTTCAGTGTGATGGCTGTGACCAGATGCTGTCCCTCTGGAAATCCAGGGCAGATGGAGAATTCTATGCTTTGTAAGGGCCAAAGTTACTCATTTTAATCAATGCAGCCATAAAACCTTTGCAGTGGTTGCAGTGTGTCTGCATCCCAAGAACCACTTTTCTGTCTTCCACAGGACTGTAAGGGTTAATCTTTACTCCTTGATGACTCTTGTGTTTAAGATGAATAAGCCAAAACAGAAGGTTGTTTTTCATTTGTTTTTCTTCCCATACCCCTACAGAGCTGGCATAGCTGTGGGGTTTGAATTTAGAGAGGAGATACAACCCAGAAGGAATATTATTGCATTTCAAACAGGGCTTTGTTTAGACTAAAAGGATGCTTTAACTGCTTTTAACTGTAAACAGCCTTGAAGTGTGGTTCCCTTATGGCAAGCTGTGAGATCTCTGTGCTGACTTATCCTTCTGTGTCTAGGGCTGTTCCCGCCACCTCTGGCACCGCCACCAGCTCTCCTCATCCCAACCTTGGATGGGTAAGACCATACCTGGGCTGAGCCATGGGTGCAGCTCCTCTGGAGTGAGGATGGGAGGAGGATAGGTCAAAAATCAGTGCCAGTGATTCCTGATCTGATTTTGGATTGGGGTGAGGGTGAGAGCAGAGTCCGTCGGGAATCCTCCGTGAGTTTTCATATTCAGGACAGAGGAAGGAGTCCATAAAATCTAGGTGTGTGCTAGTGGAGTAGTTGAGAGCAGGTTATTTTACAGATGCTTTCTCTAAAGATTCTCCAGGTAGTTTGTAAGCAGCAGTGCTTCCCTAGGAAGCCTGCCTGGGGCAAAGCAGGACAAGCAGAAAGGTTATGGCAGGTTTGGAAGCTGTGGCAAAGCACCTGCACCCACATGCATTTCTGAGAGTTTGCAGAAAAAATGGGATGAACTCACAGCGCACACAGACCTACAGGACTCCCCCATGTTAGTAACTCACATCCTTTTCTCTCCCCAAAGCCAGCCAGCCAGCTACAACAACAGGCAGCCTCCTCCCTTTGGCTACAACTCTGCAGGTGAGCACTGAACATAACACAAACTGTTGCTCTCTCTTCTCTGGTTCTTGGCAGTTCAGGTTTTTCCAAGGCTGGCAGACATCGTATTTGCTTTAACTTTAAGGTCTTGCTTGTGCCCCAAAAGATCCCAGTCACTAGGAACACCTGCTGAGTCTGCCTGCAGCATGAGGTGTTTGGAGAGCTGAATGTTCTGCAGCACTGGTGGTGCAGTTTTGTGGCTGAGTGCTAAGGGTCAGATCTGTTTTCAGTGCAGACACCCAGCACCAGAGAATCCTCCCCACTGCCTCAGCAATGTGTTCTTGTGCCTGTTTGCACACACTTGTGCTCACCCTCATTCACATTCTCTCCCTTTTCCCCACTCTCAGGTACAAGCACAACCATCCACAACTATCAGCTTGGCATCTCCTCCCTGAGCTTTTGAATCCCTCCTCCCCCTCTCCACCCTCTCCCTTGCCTACAGGCACCCATCTCCTTTGGTTTTGTAATGGAAGAGGCAGTGCCAGGATTTCAGCAGATTTCCTTCCCTGGTGCAGCTTGAGGATGGGTTTGGAGGAGTGGGCAGTGTCAGCTCTTCCTGAGGAGCAGGAGTCTTAAGAGCTGCCAGATGTGCAGCTTCTCAGCAGCTGGCACTGCCTTGGGGTACAAGCTTGCTGGTCCAGCTGAGCAGGCCAGCATCTGGATGGGTAGTGCTGGTGACTCTGGGCTCATCAGGTGACATCCATTATTAATGGTGCCCTTGGCCCTCCCCAGCTGCCACCTTAGACCAGAAGGTACCTGGTGAGAGGTGAGACCTTGTATGGGTGACCAAGAGCCTGGGGCTAACAAAGAGATTGTGCAGCACTGTCTGTAAATACCTGCTCTTGCTTGTGTCTTCCTCATGGAAAAGGTGTTCATGTGTTCTTAGCAAACTGCTGGAAGTGAAAGGGGAAGGACAAGAGGGAGCTGGGCCACTGTCTCCTTGGGTTCAGCTGTACTGCCAGAGGGTGTCTTGGAAAGGAAGGGACATGGGATGCTGTTGGTGCTTCAGATGAGCAAGGATTGTGTGCTGTCTCCACAGATTCAGGTTTCATCAGCTACCCACCCATCTCCACGTCCCACACGCCCTGGGTGACCACAGTGGACAAGGGCACGAGCAGCTCCAGCAGCAGTCACTGGGAGTACTCGGGCTCGAGGCGCGAGCGGGAGCGGGACAGGGAGCGGGAACGGGAGAGGGAACGAGACCGGGACCGGGACCGCACCCCCACCACCAGTGAATACAACAAGTGAGTGGTGCTTTGCTGCTTCTGCTCTCAGGGGGGAGCTCTGGCCTTGCCCTGGAGCCCCAGAGGGTGTCTGGCCAAGGGTTGGTGTTACAGATTATGCCAGTTGAATTTTCTGAAGTGTCTGGGGAAGAGATACTTTGGATCAATAACCAGAAGACAAACTAGGAGCTGGTGTTGCTGGCTGACTTCCTGTGCCTGGTGTCTGGGCTTTTTTGTTTAAATCCAGCAGAACCAGTTACTCCTGCTCTCCACACCTGTGATGTGAGGCCAGTAAATAGAATAGCCCCTCTGTGTTTACTCAGTATTTCACAGCTCAGTGTGAAGCATTGGCTGTAGGAGCTGCTTCTTCTTGTCTTCTAAATGCCACTGTCAGATCAAAGGACAAACACCACTGCTCTGCTCTGCTCTCCTGGAGAGGCTTTTGGGGCAGGGAGTACCATTCACTGGGAGTCAGCCATGAAATGTGAATCCTTAACCAGGAGTTTCTGTGAGCAGAACTGGGGCCACCACCTTGGTGGGGCCTGCTGTGACCTCAGGTGACAGGGACTGAGACTTCCTAAACCCATCACTGGAGTGTTTTGCAGGCTTCAGGCTCAGAAATGTCAATCATCATTCAAAACATGATCAGAGTGCACATTCCTGCCATAGGGTGCTGCCTGCCAGGGAGCTTCCCAGCCTAGGAAGGGAGCAAACAGGGCAGCATTCTCCTCATCATTTTTATTTCCTTCCCTTTTTTTCCCATACAAGCTTCTGATCACTGGGTGTAAGGGGGAGGAACAGAAGACAGCCTTGCTGGAGTTGGAAGAGCTCAGACTCCCACATTCCATGAGCATGTCCTTGCTGCAGCCAAGGCCTGGGATCAGCACTCCTGAGCACATTGTTGGCATTTCTGGGTGATGTGGAGCACACTGGTGCTGAGGTCATGCTTGCCAAAGCTGGACGAGGTGCTGTGCTCAGTGCAGTCCTTTGGAGCACTCCCAGATGATTGATCTTGGATATTTATTTGTCTAGCTTGTTTCCAGGAGTGTCAGGACAATGTTTCAGACTTCCTTTCTCTCAGAGTCTGAACATTGTTTCCCACAGTGACACTTGTTAACCCTTCAGATTTTGGGTTTCAGAAGTGGAACTGTGAGGTGTAGAGGGAAGGGGAGTGTGGGATGTGTCTGAATTAGGGGTACATCATGCCCATTCCTGTATGGGATTGAATGAGGTGCTTTGAGCAGGTAGAGGTGTAGGCAGAAAGGCCACATCAGTTGTGCTCACAGTTTTGAGTTCTGGAACTCATGAGGAAGCAAACACCACTTTAGTCCAACTCACACAGAAGAGTTACAGGTTCCATAGTTTCATAGTATGCCAAGGGGTTGGAATGGACCTTAGAGGTCACCCAGTCCCAACCCCCTGCCCTGGTCAGGGACACCTCCCAGCAGACCAGGCTGATCAAGGCTTTATCCAACCTGGCTTTGAACACTGCTAGGGTTGGGCCACAACCTGGCAACCTGTGTCAGTGTCTTACCAACCTCACAGGAGAAACCTTCTTCCTAATAGGTAATCTAAATTTCCCCTCTTTCAATTTATCGCCTTTACTCCTTGTCCTATCACTACAGTTCCTAACAAGGAGTCCCTCTCCGAGTCCATGTTATCCGGGATGACAGCGTGGTGAGGGAAAATCCAGCACCAGGGGAGGCAGAGTGGTAAGAGGTGGTCGCTTCTGTTGTTTTCCCGTTGAGAAACCTTCTTCCTAATAGGTAATCTAAATTTCCCCTCTTTCAATTTATCGCCTTTACTCCTTGTCCTATCACTACAGTTCCTAACAAGGAGTCCCTCTCCGAGTCCATGTTATCCGGGATGACAGCGTGGTGAGGGAAAATCCAGCACCAGGGGAGGCAGAGTGGTAAGAGGTGGTCGCTTCTGTTGTTTTCCCGTTGCAGGTTTTTTCAGGAGCATCACCAGTACCTCAGCCTGTGATAGAGTAAGAGGTGACAGATTTTGTTGGTGAGGATGGGGTTACAGTCCTGTAAACATGGCCCAGGCCCACGAGGGGGTGTGTTCCTCTGCCTCACATCTGCTTTCTCTCCTCAGCGACGACGAGCGATATCGCTACTACAGTCGGGAGCGCAGCTACGACTTCGAGCGCGACTACCGGCGGAGCCGCGACCGCAGCAGGGAGCGCGAGGAGAGGCACCGCGAGCGCCGGCACAGGGACAAGGAGGAGAGCAGCAAGCACAAGTCCTCACGGCGGTACGTGCTGGGATGAACTGGGCTGCTGATGGGAACACACCTCACTGGTGGGCACAAACATTGATGTTCTTGATGTTAGGAACTGCAGTGATAGGACAAGGAGTAATGGGGATAAATTGAAAGAGGGAAATTTAGATTAGTTATTAGGGAGAAGATTTTTCCTGTGAGGATGGTAAGACACTGGCACAGGTTGCCCAGGGAGGCTGTGGCTGCTCCAACCCTGGCAGTGTTCAAAGCCAGGTTGGATAAAGTCTTGAGCAACCTGTTCTGGTGGGAGGTGTCCCTGCCCAGGGCAGGGGTTGGGACTGGATGATCTCTTAAGGTCCATTCCAACCCCTTAACGTACTATGAAACTGTCTGTTCTTGGGGTGAACTGTTGCCCTGGGTCATTCTGGCTACCTACATCCCGAGATGTGATGCCCAGGAAAGGGCAAGCACAAGGACAGATTCCTGGACTAGTACCTGGGCTAGAACTGTCTGTGACAGGGAGAGGAGCCCTCGGTGCTTGTGAGTTCTCAGCCAGGCAGTTGGCAGCACTGGTCGATGCAGGACGGGTTAACCCATGCTCAGTCTCACATAGAACAGCATAGCTCACACCCTTCACTAAAACACACACAAAGGGAAGTGCAGAACCACAACAGAAGCATCAGCTTTCAGTGCTGTTCTCTCGTGCTCAAGAGCAGAGCTCTCTTCAGCCTGTAATCTGAAATTTCCTCTTGAGCAGGAGGCCGAGCGCTGCGTGATCAGAGCTCTGTGCCCAGTGCCTGACAGTGAGGGTGGTGATGGTCTGCACAGAGGTGAAACATTTCTGAGGCAGAGCAGCATGTCCTAAAATCCCAGTTTTTCTGTAGAAAATGTATCTTTCTTCCTGTGTGAGTGTTGTTCTAGCAAAGCAGTATATCTGGTCCCTGGGTTGAGGCAGGTTCTGTGCTCAGGTCCTGTGTCACTTTACATCTTGGTAATGACTTGAACAGACTTACTCTTGCTCTTTTATTTTTTTCATGCTTCAACTTACGTCCTTCTTTTAGCTGAAATTCATGTCAACTCTGCAGGTAATTACCCTTATTTTGAAATTGATATCACAAAGACTACATAGTGACTGGAGGTAAAAGGCTCTTCTCATCCTTAAGGAGATGAGTAGGTTTTCAAGGAAGAACTGACTGCTGAAGGCTTGGAAACAAAGTGATGGGAAGAAAGACCAGGACCATAATCAAAATTGAATACAAAACAACTGAAAACTGAGCTAGTACCAGATGAACAGACCAATGGCTTTAGGTGGTTTTTTTTCTCAGCTGCTTCTGCTCAGAATCGAAACCTTGGTTTGATTCCTGACTGCCTGATCAGTGTAGAGTTCACCAGAGCAGGGCCAGATCTGCTGGAGAGCTGAATGTACAGAACTGGGCTGGTGCACAAGGTGGGAATGAGACTTTTCCTCTACTCCTTAAACCACACACAGATGCTCTGTGGCTCAAAGCAGTAGGATGGGCAGTGTTTGTTAGCTGAAGCATATGGAGGAATACTGTATTTAAGGCCACTTGGAGTGTGTGTCGGAGTCCCTGCTTGAGGCACACTGAGATTTGAGCCTGTTGGAGGCATCTGCAGGCAGATGAAAGGGTTTCCTTGCAGCTCATTGCAAACTGACCAGTCTGAGGGAAATCACTGACGCTGGTTTCAGTATTAAAGGACAGTTGCACTGTTCCAGCATCACCCACTGGCACATTGTCCACGGGGTGGCTGAAGGTGTGTTGTGGAGAGGCAGCAGCCTTTTATTTTTTCCTTTTGTTTTTCCCTTTAATGACTATGAAACCATTCATTAAACTAGCCCGGAAGTGACTTGAAGCCTGGACCTTTTCAGCCAGGTTCTGCCAGTTTGGTGTCTGTGCTGCTAAACTGGTATTCCAGCTGTACTACAAATTTGTCTCTACACCTGCCTGCCCGTGGGGCTGTGCCTGTTCTGTGTGACCATACAGCCTCCTGTGATCAATTCATCTGCTCATTCCTGCACTCTGGATGCTGATACTCTTCTTAATTCTGCCACCTTCACATCACAGTCTGCTCTAGAGAGTTCACCTGGCCTTTAACCTGGCAGGAGAAATAATAGTGTGGTGGAGAAGCAGCAGAAAATCTCCTCCCAGGAGGGGCCAAACCAGAGCTCCCACCCATCCACCTTCCCTGACAGAGGCAGAGCTGCTCCTGGGTGCGTGGGCTGCCGGACACACTGTGGGCAGGGCACAGCAATGTCAGAGTTCCTCCTGGCTGGGATTCTCCCACATCACTCAGATCCTGTGTAAACATCTGCAGCTATCCAGCCACATCTGGAAAAATGGGTGAGGAGATAGAGGAGTTCTAAAGCACGAAGCTAGTGAAGAGCCAGGTCATGTGTGAGTAAGCAGAAATAGAAACAAGATTTTCCTCCCGTTGGGAAACAGTCTCTTGCTCGGTTGATCCCTTTCTTGCCTCTAGTCCAGAGATTTCCTCAGGGTGGAGTGACTTTAAAGCACCTCTCAGGTTTAGGACTCTTCTTCCTCTCAGCTACCTCAGTGCTGTGTCAGAATTGTTGGAGCTCCCTTTGGAGTGAGTCTGTCCTGCTGCCTGCCCTGCCATGTGCTGACACACTCTGTGATTTGCACAACGTGCCCTGGGAGCAGCCACACACAGTATCCAGTGGTCCTAAACAAACAGGCTGTGGTGCTGCCTGGCACTGCCTGCCCTCAGCACTGCTCTGTCTCCTGCTCAGAGCAGCTCAGAACGCTGTGGCCCTGCTGGGTCCCTCCTCTGGCACAGCTGTGCTGATGTCCCTTTTTGTCCCCTCTCTTCCCCACCACAGCAAGCAGCACGAGAGTGAGGAGGGGGAGAGCCATCGGCGCCACAAGCACAAAAAGAACAAGCGGAGCAAGGAGGAGAAGGAGGCCAGCGAGGATGGAGCCCAGGAGGGCGAGGAGCAGGATGCCAAGGAGTGACCCAGGCCCACCATCAGGAGCTCACTCCTGTGGAACCAGCATGGCATCGGTGATGTTTAGGATGGGGAGGGTGATTTTTTTTTTTTAATTATTATTTTTTACTTTTTCCAAGGGAAGAGACTGCCTGGGCTGCCGTGACGCTGTGGCAGTGCTGTGGGAGCTGAGGCTGCACATGCCCTTAAACTTCCTTTTTGGTTTTGTTTTTGATACAAGACAATACAGCAGTACTAGTTACGAAGCACTGAGCTACTCTACTCATACACATCCCTAGGGAGAACTGTGGTGTATCAGATCCTATGGTTTCTGATGGAAGATGGCTTCAGCTGAAACTAACGCAATTAGGTCATAGTTTTTGGTTCTTTTTTTTGTCGTCATCATCATCATTCCTTTTTGAAAACTAGGACAGTAAGTGTGACTTGAAATTTATTGTCCAAAGAACAGTGTGACTTAGACCCCAAGAGCCAGCTTAGAGTCTGGTGTCTAGTAGTGAAAAGTCATCCCCAAATAAACTTCTTTATAGCTACAAAAATATCCTTTGGTTTCTCCATGGCAGTGTGGCAGGAGGAACTGCAGAAACTGCTCTTGCTGGTGGAGCACAGGGTCCTGCTCCGATCCAGCAGCTTTGAGAAGCTGCCAAGTGCGTTTACACACATGTGCAAAGACTTCAAAACTCTTTTTTATCCAGTGCAAAGATAGTTGTGTCATATGTTACACCTCTCAGTGGGAGATCAGTGAAGACCCAGACTAAGAGCATGAGTTTCTCTTTCACTACTTTTGACTTAACTATTTTATTTCTTTTTTTTTACTAAAAGTTGAGCTGAATAACCTAGTGCAGTAGAGAACACCAAGTCCCAGATAGCAGTTTGCCCTCGTGGGGCTGGCATTTCTATTTGGGTATCACCACCACTCCTGTCCAATGCATTCCTTCCCCTAGATCCCAAAATAAATTCAGTCGAATTCCAAGGTTTCTTTGGACTTAGTATTGGTTGGGGAGGGAGGCAACAGTGATGTTTCTGGGTGGGAAGAACAGGGGAAATAACATTGAGTGGTTTTGATCTGTCTGGTACTTAGGATTCTTCTGTTTGTATGAGTCCACAAGTGTCTCATTTTTCTTTGACTTGTTATTTAAAACTGTCTTAAATATTTGTCCTAAAATAATATGGTTCTGAAATGTTATGTATTTTTGGTATTGTAATCTTGCAAGTCAGAGTGTCATATGAAGCATCACCTGAGACCTGATCCAGGAGACTCTCTGGGAACAGGTTATCCACTGTGACAGTGCCTGTGAAGATCATTGACTGCGTAGAAGAGCTGGGGGTTCTGTTCGGTTTTGGTTTTCATGGTGCTTTCTTAATGTGCTTTGAGATCTTGGAAAATATGTGTGCACTGAACCAGGGGCTGCAGAGCCTGGAATCAGGCTGCAGTGCTCCTCCCTCTGCAGCCACAGCCAAGTTCTGGTGGCACCCCAGGATTTAGGAATAGGTGTCTCAGCCATTGCCTGGTTGGGCAGCAGTGCAAGCTGCAGGAATCCCAGCTCCTGGCACTGTGCAAGGGGAATCCTCCTGGCAGCTTCTCCTGGTGTCAGGTCAGGGTGCTCAGCTGTGAGTGCCCACTAGCTTTCAGAACTTGGGATGAACATGCTTATATCCAGCTGTGGCATGGATGAGAAGGATTCAAGAGTGCTTGGTCTTGCTCCTTGGCACCACACAACAGATGTGCCCACCCTCCTCTTCTAGAGCACAGAGCTTGCACAGGGGAGTGCCAAGTGGGAGGGGGGCCCAGCAGCCTTGCCTCAGCCTCTGTGAAGAGTCTGGATGTGGTAAGTATGAAATATGGTTGCTTTTCTCCAGCACACAAACTGAACTTGCTGGGGCAGGTGGTGGCCCCAGCCCACGCCGAGCTGCCTTTTGCCTGCAGTGGGGTAAGTGCTAGCAAGGGAGTGTTACGCCAAGGTGAGTGGGTCTGGCCCCAGCCAGGGGCACTGCTGGCATCTTTGCCTGCTTAGGTGTCTGTGGTGCCACTCCAGGGGTGGACAGAGCTAATCCACACCCACTCCCCTAATCTATTGCACTGTTTGTGGAGGTGACAGAAGCTACCGCGTCTGTAAATAGGCGTAATTAATGGTGATGACATCCACTCTATATCCCTCACTGATGGTGATGGATAGGGAATGGAGAATCCAGCACAAGTCAGTGCAGCAGCTTCCTCCCGTGGTAGTTGAATGAGATGGACCCAAGTCCTTCACAGATGGTTGCAGGTTTACCCTGCCAGGAGCAGCTGTGAATTTAAGAGAAGTAGTTTGAAATTGTTGTATTGTAATTGAATAGACGAAAAGTGTTTGCCTTTAACATCAGGGAAGTGTAAAGGTAGGGTGCTGGAAATAATCTTTACTTGCATCAGGAAGCTACTGCAGGTTGCACGATGATCCCTGGGGATAAGGAATGGTGACTAATGATTCCGGGAAAGGGCAGTCCTTGGGCTGGTGGCAGCAGTGCCTGCTCTGACTCAGGGCTGGAGCTGAGGCAGAGCCTGGAACACCTCAGGTGCCAAGGAGCACTGGGATGGGGAACTGCAGGGCCAGGGCTGAGACCTGCACAAGTCATTACACAAGTGCCAGGCAGCTCAGTATGGAGAGGAGGGGTGAGGCACCTCGAGGAAACCGCAGGCAGGTCCTTCAGCTCCTGACAGCGCAGAGAATCAGACTTCACAGAGAGTCAGTTAGGCTGGAAGGGACCACAGTGGGGCCATATGGTCCCACCACCCTGCTCAAGCAGGGCTATCCCAGAGCACAGGGCACCAGATTGCATCCAGATGGTTCTGGAATATCTCCAGTGAGGGAGAATCCATGATCTCTCTGAGCACTCTATTCCAGTGCTTGGTCACTGCATAGGAAAGAAGTTCTTCCTCATGTTTAGATGGAACTTCCTGTGCATCGGTTTTTGCCTGTTACCTCTTGTTCTATTGGTTTGCACCACTGAGAAGCACCTGATGTGTTTTCTTGGCACCCACTTCACATAATGGCAGTGGTGTTTGTCCTGGTTCCCTCTTCCAGTCAGGGCATTCATGCTGCCTGGAACAGTCACATCACAACAAACCTTCACCCAGCTCCCACTCTGGATGTGTGATTCCTCTGGGTCCAGCAGCCCCAGCACTGCCTCGTGGCTGCTGAGCTGTGCAGCACATTGAGTAGGGCAGTTCAGCCTCATTAACTAAAGCTTTACGTACTCCCTGGGTGAGCTCTCAGTCCAGTCAGCTCTGAGCCCCATGAGCACAGTAGGCTGCAGGAGCATGACTGAGGGGAAGGGGATGTGGGATTTACTGTGGTTCAGGGTTTTTTCCCAGCCATCTGCTTTCCTGGGAGAAGCTGATGACAATTACACTATTTCCTGCTTCACAGGGTCAGTTTCTTGGAGCAGTGTCTGTTGTTGAGGTGACCTGTTCTGGGGGCATTAGCTGTTACACTGAAAGGTTAAAAACCACACCTGTAATACATACTTTTCAGCAATATTACAATAATTTATAAAGGCATCAAAACAAATGCAACATCTATTAACAAGCTGATTTGGGAAACAAAATTTAAATTACAAGAACATAAGTTGAAGGCACCTTGAAAGGAGATGGAGTAACAGTAAAAATTGTTCCACAGCATCCTCCTCAATCCCACTGCCTGCCCAGCAGCTGCACAGCTCCTTCCTCCTGTACTTGGTACACATGACACTTGGTGCAGGCAGTAGGAATCTCCCTCTCTACGTCAATATTTACTGTTCCACACCAGGCACAGATTCTGCACATTGATTGGAAAGAGACAAATATTACTTCAGGTTTTTCAGTTCCTGTGTGTCCAGTCTTCCACAGGCAATTTCCTGACTTGTGACTTATTTTGCTCAGTATTCAATTCAGTAGGAACAACAGGAAAACCAGCCCTGAGCCCAGGTAGCCATGATTCTGCTGGGCATCCCCAGGGGTATCTGCTAGCCAAAGGCCATGCTGTGTGCCAGGGAACTCTGTGAGGATGGATCCTCAGCTATTGCTGTGTGATTGGCTCTGAGAACAGGCCCTGCTGTCCTGCCTCAAGCCCCAGGAAGTGAAGTCACTGTCTGTGTAAACAACTTGGGCATGGAGCAGGAGCAGCTAATGACAAGTCACCAGCCCCAGCAGTGCTGCTTCAGACAGGGACAGGCTCTTGCCTGCAAGGTTACTACAAGGAATTAAACATTCATTCTAGGCAGCATTTTTACAGGAGAGAAACTCCTTTGATTCTTCTCACGGGGGCTAGCTCCAGAGAAGGTGCAGCAGAAACAGCACAAGAGGGAAGATCTCTCCAACCCAGTTTGAGAAAGACCTGCCATGTCTACTACTGCTGACTAAAGACCTGCTGAAAAAGGAGGTAATTGCTTCAGATGGAGTTTGCAAGTAGTAACTTTGCAGTGTCATAGGTCAAGCCAGCCTGCCTCAGCTTCAGTTCTTTTAGACTCACTTTTACCTGTGCAGCAGTTTAACCTGCAGCCAGGCTGGGCACACTGTCCTGCTGGAGGTGACTGTTCCTGTACTTTGGCACAAAGTGGCTGAGGCAGCCAACGACCCTTGGAGCTTCCTGTGATGCAGTGAGTTGCTGTTTTGCTCCACCTGCAAGAGGGGTGTAGAACTGCAGGGGCTCCTCTCACCTGCCTCACAGTGCAGGTGCTCCTCCCCCGCGTTAACTCTGCATCTGATTGCTGGGAAACTGATAAAAATAAGACAGGCAGCATGCTGGGACAGAGGTGTCTTGTTACCAGCCTGTTTACTTATCACCTGTCATCTGTGGGAAAAGCTGCTTTTATCAGGTCATAAAACCAGGGAAATCTCTATGTGCAGAAAGAATGAACCTTGCCATCGACCTTTGTGAAAGTCACACCTTCAAAATATGATGTTGCACTGAAACCACTCTACCTGGTACCTTTGTCAGTGTTTCTTTAAGCAGTTAAAATTGTCCATTTGCAATAGTTCAGTGTGGTTGGCAGGATCCTAAATGACAGGAGCTTTGTACATGTCAACACAGCTCCACCATGCTGACCCAGCAGCAATTCAGCTCCCAGCTCTGAATTATCATTGGGGTTTTTAATGAATTAACACATTCCTTAGGTTCAGGAACCTAAAAATGTGAAGACTGGGGGCTATAGGAAGTGCCTAATTGGGGCCCCATCCTTGCAGATTTATGAGCAGTTTCTAAAAGCCACTGCTTAACCTGTTGAAAGTACTGAACAAAGAGCAGAGCCCTAAAAATCAAGGAAAGTGCCTCAACAGCCTCAAAGGTTGTAGAGAACCACTGAAAAGAGCCTTCTCTGCAACACCAATCCTAAAGAGCTTTAATGAGCCTGAGAAGGTACAGCTGTTGGATTAACTGTAACTGAAGCCAACAATCAGTTTGTTTATAACCTCAACACAGGAAAATGTTGTAAGAGTCTTCCATGGCAAGGCAGCAGGTAGCAGGAGGTCAGCAGTCCCTGATCTGTCACATGTAGCTGTGTGTGCTGGTCAGCTGATACCTGT